ATTCACATAATTGTCTTTTCTTATAATAAATCGTATCGACTGTTTATTCAATTATTCAAACATAAAATGGAGTCGTTTCTTATAATAAATCATATTATAACGAGAAAACAGAGTCTCCAACCACCACAATTTTTACAATAGAAACCATATATGTATTATGACTCAATTAAGCATCCAAGTTTTAGAACAAAATATATGTTATTTGGGTAATATTCCCTCTATTCAATAATATAAAATGTTTTGGCTAAAAAGCAAGAGTTTAAATAACTAATTAATTTTTTTTTTAACATTAAAGCATAACTTAATATATAGCTAAACATACAATCATGATAAAATTTACTGCTTAATACAAATAGTCACAAAATTATAGTATATATATATATATTAACTTTTTAACAGAGAAACTTGATTTTTTTTGTAAAACATCAAAAGTTGTGAAACAAATCAAAATGTTTAAAACATTAATACATATTAAAAAAGTATTTGACAAAAGAAAAGAACTATTATATGACAGCGTTTATAAAAAAACAGAACAGTTGATGAAGCCTTTTCCAATTTGGGACATTGCATATGTGAGCATCTTGTAAATATACATACACATATAAACTACTAGATAACCATCCACGCGATGCGTGGGTTATTGCATAATTTTCTTTCTTAAACAAATTAATGAAATATACCTTATAAGCAAGCGAACAACATACACAAACATATAGGAGATGAATGGATGGTTAACAAAGCTTATATATATTTGAAGGGATTATCCCGTATTTTGATACGTGATATAATATTAATCACAAACATAAAAATAAATAATTCGAATTTAGTTATTAACGATAAATAGAAACAGAAAATTAATTAAATTAAAATTTAACTTTACAAAGTAATATGATTTCTTTCGGGTCATTTTATTTATTCGGTTTTGTTTTTATAAATAATGTCGTTTAAAAAATTTAATGAATTGAAAGATTACTTTTAGTTTGTTCTTGTTACGTTATGATTCATTTATTCTTGAGAAATTGCCTCTAATAGCCTCAAAATTAATAAATAATTATAACAAATCATAGTTAATATTTTCCCGCCAAAACAAAATACCGTCAAAATTTTTCCACCAAAAAGTTTTTTGTCAAAATTTCCCGCCAAAATATTTTCTGATCTCGGGAAAAAAAATATCGTCAAAATTTTCTTGCCAAAAAAATTTTCGTCCGACTTTTCTCGCCAAAAAAAATCCAAGAAATTCAGAAAGGATTTCATGAAATTTAGGAAGGACTTCACGTAATTTATGAAGGATTTCAGGTAATTTAGGAAGGATTTCACGAATCGGGAAACACAAAATCATCCATTAATTTTTATAGCTATGAGAGTTATATGATGCAATATTTTATATTTTCTCTATATATATGTACAAAGAGAAACTATATTTTATAACTATATTTTTAATAAATTGTTTATCAATTTCTTTTTTGCGGCAAAATGTTAAAACATTTTTTGTGGGAAACTTTTTTGATAAAATTTTTTTGACGAAAATATTTTTACGTTGCAGAAGTTTTTTGGCGGAAAAATTAAAATTTTGCCAGGAAATTTCTAATTTTATTTATTTATTTATTTTAATTAAAATAATATTCATATTTAATATTTAATTAAAGTTTATAGTGTTATTTGTGGAACTTTCAAATGTAGTGCTATTTTTGGAAGAAAAACTTATTTTAGTGTTATTTTTGTCAATCTCTCTTTATTCTTAGTGTTACATTCAAGTTTCTAACTAAAAAAACAGTTAGTTTATATGACCTCTAAACAGTGTTACATTTTAAGTAATGTATGAGACAAACACATGAATTATAGAGGATCACAATGGTGTGTGCGATATCCTTGTGCAAAGATAGAGGATCAATTGAAACTTGGACACAAATTAAACTATAAAATGTTAGGAAGTCCCTAAAAATCATCGTATATTAAGTAAAAAAAATTATGGTTGATGTAGATGAAAGAACACAAATCATCCATTAATTTTTATGGCTATGAGAGTTATATGATGCAATATTTTATATTTTCTCTATATATATGTACAAAGAGAAACTATATTTTTATTACACTAACAATTTATAACATAAGAGTTAGTACTACATTTTGAGGAATTAATTGTGATATTTGTTTTTAATTAGTCTTATCCTAAAATCATGCATTTTAGTATGAAATTCTGATAACCACATGTTACACAACTGTGTTTTTAAATGATGATATTTTTTAAAATTCATATTGTTTACAATTAACTTATAATATATATATTTATATAACTTTTTCCTATCAATACATTGACCGCAACCAATATGAACAGAGTGAAAACCGTCTTTTATATAATTTTTCTAATTAAATACATTAAAAGAATTACTATTACTATAAAATTAATTATTATAGAAATTACAGAGAAATGCAAAAATGAAAAAATAAATTGACAAAACAAAAATATTGGACTTTAATAAAAATTTACTGAATTAAAAACATAAATAATTATTAGTATGGGGGTTACAAATATGAAACACATAGCATTTATGAATAAAGTTAATTGAAGAATTAATTGTGATATTTATTTGTATTCAAAAGGCATTCATTTTAGTATGGGATTCTAATAACCACATGTTACAAAATTTTGTTTTTAAATGGTGATATTTTATTGAAATTCATATTTTCTTATATGCAAGTAATATATTTATAATTGTTTCCAATAATTTCATTGAAAGTAACCAATTACAAGAAGAGTATAATTGAAAGCATTACTATTACACAAAAAAAAGTAAATAATATTGAAATTACCGAGAAATATAAACATTAATTTAAAAACATGACAAAACAAAAAGATTGGACTATTAAGAAAATCATTGAATTAAAAACATAGATAATTATTAGTATGTGGGTTACAAATCTGAAAATACATAAAATAATTTATTTTAAATTACTATTATAAATTTATTTTCCACAATATTGGTGTCAAATAAGATTACTAAAATTATTGAATTAACAACATATATAATTATTAGTATGGAGGTTACAAATCTGAAAATACATAAAATAATTTATTGTAAATTATTATATGAAATCTATTTTCCACAATATTGGTGTCAAATAAGATTATTGGTTTCATTATGGTAAATTATACTTAAACACTTTAATAATAATTAAGGTTGAAAAGAAATATAGTTGTCATATTTGAATTTTATTCTCTACATTTTATTGATCTTAAAAAGTATAAGGAAAAGAATTAAAACTTAAAATATTGGAAAATAAATTAATGGAAAAATATTTTTTGAGTTAAATAAATATAAATTGCATTAATGTGGATGATTAAGAGATGAAAAATATGACACATGTCAAGCATTTGAAGTGCCAAATGTCAAAATATTAAGACAACTTTAGAAGAAACCTTCTCATATTATATAAGATATAAACCATATATATATATATTATTTTATCAACAACATGCTTAAGTATAAGTATATAATATATAACTATTTCACAGTTGAACGCATATGCGCATATACATATATTGTTATCAACAACATGCATAATGATAAATATAGTATGTAATTGGGATTTTATATTCTGTAACCATTAACTCTCATCACGTGCTATATATATATGTGTCTGGTGCTTGCAAATTGTCCACCATCGCCAGATCTCTCTATTTGTTTTCTCTAGATCTCTCTTTTTCCTTCTCTCTTTCTTTCTTATCTCACGAGTCACGAATATGGAAAGAGGAAGAAACCTTGATCAGAAAAGCAACTTCTTAATATTGCCACATTCTCAATGGAGTGATCACTTCTTTACTGTTTCTATCACTGACTCGGTGAGTCAATCTTATATATTGTTGACAAGAAAATAAGCAATGTATATATATTTTCATATGATAGGCGTCTATTTGCATGGGTGGATGGATGGATCTATATGGTGATGAATAATATACCACTAGGCACTAGCTAGTATATATTTTTTACGTTTTGAAATTTCACTTCTTCTTTTTTTTATTGTTCGAATTATTTTTCAAGTTATCACATTTTTATGTTTTTGAAAAATTATTACGCTATATGTTATTAGCGTATTAAAAATTATAACCGCGTAGACAGCTTTTTAGAACTCTGGCTATAATATCAATATTTTTTATTTTTCTTCCTTTTAAATGAAATTTAATTCACTTTTCAACTCATTTTCGTAATATTATTGTAGACTTATAGTTATGTATATTGATTATTGAAGTATTGGTTTATCTTTTCCGTAGATGAATTTGGGATATTAATTAACGGTAAGAATTTTATAATATTATTATAAATTTATATATTGTTTGTTCCCTAGCAAATTATAAATTTGTATTTGTCCATGTCCATTAGAACACCATTATTGGTGGTATCTTAGATGGTTCTTACCTTATTATCTTGAAATTAAACATTGGAAAATAAATCAAAACAGATTAAAATGCTAAGATTGGACTCTTAGCTAAGAACTTTTGGAAGTGTTAAGAGCTAAGATTTGACTCTTAACTTATAAAAACCAAAATTTTAATCTTAAACAATGTTAAGAGCTAAAGTTAAGAACCCACCGTTAATGATGGTCTTAAATGTCTATATAAGGATTTTGACCTTTATCTATCAACTTTCAGGATTTAGATGTCCTTGCAAGAGAAATTGAGGAATTCAAACCTAAAGTGAGAGAGAATATATTTAGTTTGTCTTCCGATGCAATAAAGAGGAAGATACTTTCGATCCATTTGCTGATCAGCCTTGGTCTCTCTTATCATTTTGAGAACGAGATCGAAGAGACCTTAAAAGAGGCTTTTGAAAAGATAGAAAATTGATCGCTGATGAAAATGATTTGTACACAATCTCAATCATGTTTCGAGTTTTCAGAACATATGGTCACAACATGTTGTCCGGTACGGATATTTTAAGCATGTCATTAGATTTTTGATATACATTTTTAAAAACAATTTTTTTTTTTTTTATGTAGATGTTTTCAACAGATTCAAAGGAAACAACGGCGAGTTCAAGGAATGTTTAATAGAAAACGTTAAGGGTATGCTAAGCCTCTACGAAGCTGTGCACTTTGGGACAACGACGGATCATATATTGGATGAAGCATCACGCTTCACATTAGACCACTTGGAGCCACTAACTACAGGTCACACAGCAATCCCACCACATCTTTTAAAGCTTATACGCAAAGCTCTTCACATACCTCAGCACCGGAACAGCCAAGCTCTAGTTGCAAGAGCGTATATTTCTTTCTATGAACAAGAAGAGGACCACGATGAAACACTGCTCAAGCTAGCCAAGCTCAATTTCAAGTTTTTGCAGCTTCATTACTACCAAGAATTAAAAATTATTACCATGTGTGTGAATTAATGATCTAGTTTTCTTCTAACACATTGCTGGCTAGGGTTATTTGTGAGTTCATATATTTAATCCTTTGCATATTTTTCGTAGGTGGTGGAGGGAACTAGACCATACATTAAACCTCCCACGAAACATCAAAGAAAGAACCATCGAGAGTTGGTTCTCCGCATTGGTGATCAACTTTGAACCACAAGTTTCACTTGGGAGAATTATGTCAGCTAAGTTATACTTATTGATCACTTTTTTAGACGATGCTTGCGATATACATGGTTCAGTATCTGAAGTTGCAAGCCTGGTTGATTGTCTTGAAAGGTATATAGCTAACAAAGATTCATGATGCGAAAAAAAAAAAAAAAAAAAATTCCATAATCATTTGTTGGTTGATATATTAGATGGGATCCCAATCACATGGAAAATCTCCAAGGTCACATGAAGAGTTCCTTCAAATTTGTGATGTACGTTTTCAAGGAGTATGAAGAAATATTGAGGTCACAAGAAAGAACATTTATGTTGGAGAAGATGATAGAAGAGGTGGTTATTTACACAAACTTAATTATTACTAACCATCAAAAATTCATATATATTCATGGCTAGTAATCAGTTTTTACCATGTTTAAAATGTTGGTGTAACTAAGCAGTTCAAGATACTCGTAAGATCAAACCTAGAGCTTAACAAATGGGCACGAGCAGGTCACATGCCTAACTTTGATGAATACATGGAGGCTGGTGAGGCTGAGGTTGGTGCGTATGCAGCCATGGCATGCTCATTTATAGGACTTGGAGATATTGCTAAGAAGAAAGACTTTGAGTTGCTAAGATCTAGACCAAAGCTTGTCCGCTCTTTAGCTGCAAAGACACGTCTCATGGATGACATGACCGATTATGAGGTAAACAAATTTGTTTTAGAAAATCTTATACAATGTTTCAAACCGGTCTTGTCCGAACGGATCTGACCAGGAACTAATCGTTCTTTTTGCTGTGTTGGGGATACATCAAAACACAATGGGTGGTTATATTTGAGCTGAAAACAGTGTAAAAGTGCCTAGATTTTCCCTTTACAAAACACTAGAGTAAATGATGGGCTGAAAATAATTAGGCCAAAATCTATATTTATTTTACTCCATATATTTTATACTCATTTACTCCCACTTATTCTTTCTTCCACCAATCACACCCATAGTCTAGTAAAATTGTTAATAACGGAAAAACCGCTAGAACTTGTTACCCGGATCAAATATCAAAACCAGTTTACAGTAAAACTTCTATAAATTAATAATGTCAGAACTATGGTATTTTATTAATTTATTAATAGGAGAAATTCATTAGTTTATCGAGTATCAATTTACCAAAGTTTTACTAGTAAAATTATTAATGTTGCGATTTGTTATTTTAAAAAATTTACATGATGAATTAAAATTATTGCTTTCCGTTAATAATTTTTTTTTTTTCATAATATATTTTCAAATTGTCGAAGTGTACCTAAAAATTAAACTAAGTTTTTGTTTTTAAGTCATTCCGTTTGGTTATCAAACTAGCCACCCAATAACATTTATAACTTAATCAGTGAATTTGTATATTTACCTAAGTTACTTCGGTCTAATTAGGACGACATGAAGAAAGGATATACTGCAAACGCAATCAACTATTACATGAAGCAACATGGAATTACCAAAGAAGAAGCCAATACAGAATTTAAGAAGATGATTGGAAATATCAACAAGATAGTAAACGAAGAGTACTTCAAAATGACCAACATTTCTCGTCCAATTCTTAACCAGTTCATCGGTTTTGGACGCTTGTTAGACGTTCTCTATACAGCAGATGATGTCTTCAACCATCGCGATGGAAAATTCAAGGACTATCTCTTTACTTTGCTCATAGATCCCATACATCTTTAGATTTTGGTGACTTGGTATAATATCATTTTCTTTCTTTTGGGTTTCTCTGTAATGTGTTATTGGGTTGTTTTTGTGAACTTAACAGAGGTCCAATAAAATTTAGTTCAAAATGAGAAATGATTTTGGCTAAGATGTGTTGTGTTTTTTTTTTTTATTGGGGTGGAGTCTTTGTTTCTCACTTTATTTTTTGTTTGATAATTGACGAGAGTAAGACCACAAATGTGTTTAGGAAGAAGTATATGACTCTCATAATCGTAATGTTACAATATGCATTTTCTTATGTAGAGCCTTATATCGAATATATAATCAATCCAAGTTTCTTATTCTTAGATAAATATAAATATAAAAAATATTTTGCTGATAGATGTAAATATTCATAAACCAAGATATTGGTAAATATCATGATCTTCTCGATCCTCCTCGATATATTTTTGGGCAATCATCTCGACCATCGATTTTGGTAGATCTCCGGTTTTCCTAACAATACTTTTATCGAGTCTATGAATCATTGTGTGCCATTTCAGGTGAAGATCTATTGGCAGCTTCAAAAGACGATGCCTTCAACCACCACGAGGGAAAATTCAAAGATTGTATCTTCACTTTGCCCGTAGATCCAATACATAAGAGTTTAGTGATTTGGGAATATCATTATCTTCCTTTCTAGGTTTCAATGAAGTTAACAAAAATTGAAAATCCAATAAAATTAGTACAAAATGATGAAGGATTTAGGCTTCCACTTAAGAGTTCTACAAATGTTTTACACACTTAATCACATCACTCGATAACATAGTTTGGAGCAACAGCTAAGATCCTCTCGTCTCTTTGTGAAGATTTTTTCCTTGTTTCTTCTGCTTCTGTGGCTTCTTGCTCATTAGCCAACACTATAAGATGACCTTCTTTACATACCAAACTCTGCGCAATGCATAGCTTGTGTTAAAATAGAAACATCATTTGAAATAATCTTAACTTATATGATTGTTTTGGATTATCACCTCAATGATGGCTCTGAGTTTCTTGATATCGAGTTTTACTTGCTCTTGGGAACTGTACTTCTTTTTCTCGTTCTGTTGATCTATGTACCATCGAATAAGTTCCTTTTGTCTAATTCCAGGCAATTCAGAACCTAAAAGAAAATAGTGTTGTGAGTTTCAATAGTTGAAGAGAGAAATGAACAGTATCAAAAATTGATAAGTGTTGCTACTTACTGTCTTTGTTTACAGTTTCTTCGTGTTGTCTAAGGCGAATGACTAAGGCCTGTGTGATTCTATCATATTCTTCCTCGCTAATCACCAGCTTTTGAGCTGCTGCTCCATTATCTGTTGCTACGTCATATGATGTTACTTACGGTTCTTAAGTGAGTCTGAGAAAAAAGAATAACACAAACTGTGCGTAAGTACCTATAGTTGCAGAAGCTGGCTCAGCTGCACCATTCTGTTGATCTTCATCTCCGTTATCGGGGTTTTCAATGTCATCTGTGTCGTCCATGTTGTCACCATTAGCATCTTGGTACTCAGAAAGATCGATATCGCCTGACTCAACACTGGATAAGAGAAACAAGTATGGTTGTTTTTGGTTAACATTTGGGAGAATCTTAAGAGAGAAATTTTTTTTAAAGATGTATACGAGGTTACCTGATGACTGAAGTCTTCAAAAGTCTGACAGCTAAAAGAACATGACTTGGTTTAACCTGAAAGTAAAGTAACAAGTTCCCAGATAAATCAAATTAACTACTGGATACAACTGGTAGATTAAAAGAAAGGCACGAGAAAATGTTTTAAGATAATCTTACCAGAATTTCCAAATGACTCCTAGCAATGGCTTCTGAAAGTCGGATCAGTGCCTCTAGCTGCCTAACTGTCATTCGATATGCGACTCTTGTACCTGGAGTTGTATCGCCTCTACGAAGAGCAACATAAGACTCGACAAGTAGCTTTCTTGCTTCTGGGCTTAGCTGCAACACAACAGATGAGGATAGCAAAAAGATGTTAGCATCTCCAGCAGAAGAGTCTTTTGTAATCAAAAACATTTTTTGGGTTAGTCTACAACCTTTGGCTTTAGCGTTTTGGCATATGCAATGTAGCGTTTAAGTTGTACAGTGGTGAATTCAGGAGACAGCGCTGCTTCATGCTTCTGGTGAACTCGAACGATATGATGGGCAATGTGGTAATCTGTTACCTCATCAGGGTCATCAATCATAACGTACACAAGATCAAACCTCGAAAGAATGGCAGGTGGAAGATTAACGTTATACTGAAAAGAGCATGATCAAACCACAATTAGCTATAAAAAAAACTTCCATGAAAGTTCTCAAGCAAAGAAAGGAATACAAATATATATATATATATATCTGTTTGGATTCATTTTTGGGGATGACCTTACCTTAAGTGGTTTAGATTTATCATATCGCCCACCAACAGGATTAGCTGCTGCAAGAATTGATGTCCTAGCATTCAAGGTTGCTTGTATACCAGCTTTTGTAATGCTTATCGTCTGCTGCTCCATCGCTTCATGAATAGCAACCTTTGTGCCCAAATGTAACAGCAAATTCCATTAGCCACAGCGTAGGAAACTCAATCATCTACACTGTAATAAGAAATGATGCTAACTTACCTGATCTTTGATATCCATCTTGTCAAACTCATCAATACAACATATTCCATTGTCAGCAAGCATTAGAGCACCAGCCTGTCAAATATCATTAATTAGAACAAGAGCATAGAAATCACATGTATGACAAAGGGCTAGCATTCTTCAAAGCAATTATAAAGTTAGGTTTACTTAAAAAATTCGTTGCAGGGATTTGTTCATTACCTCAATGCAGAATTCACCAGTTTCCGGTTCTTTAGCAACAGTTGCAGTCAACCCAGCTGCGGAAGAGGACTTCCCAGATGTATACACAGATCTTGGTACAATGCCCGCGGTATACCTGCAGATAACAAACCAAAACTGAGGGATCAGATTTCAGAAGATTTCAGAAAGAAAGAAGAAAAGACAGCTTTGATTTTCAATGAGAATCAGTACTTGAGGAACTGGGATTTAGCACAGCTGGGATCCCCAACTATACAAACATTGATGTCTCCTCTAAGGTTGATGCCTTCATGAGTTGTCTTGTGCACACCGCCTAGAAGCATAAGTAGAACTGCACGTTTGATGTCTTGATGACCAAAAACGGTTGGGGCCATGCTTCCAACTAACTTATTGAAGTAATCAGGAGTATTTCTCATCTGCTGAATTTCATCCAACTCTTCTGCCTGTCCAATTAAAATAAGCAGGTCATGTGAAAGAGCAAAACAAGGATGCTGCGGACTAGTTTCTGCTTCAAGTCCTATAGGTAATTTATTTCTAAGCCTCACCGTGAACTGCTGCTGATCATCTTCATTGGAATCATTTTGGCGGTTCCTCATGTCAGTGTTCCTACTACCATCAGCAATCTAGAAAGAAAAAAACATTTGAGATTGAACAACTGGTCTCACTTCAGATTTGGTTTGACAGATATACTAAAAAGTTGACAAACCTGCACTGAGTTAGCGATAAAGGCAAGCCGATACGAAAGATCTCTAACTCCCAGAGCCTTGAGACCTTGAACACCTTCATGTCCAGCTGTAGAGCTTTTCTGTTGTGATGAGTCTCGACGACATTCTGCTCTCTCTCCAGGTGCTACCAGTGCCGATATGTCAGGTATAACAACTACCGTTCCCGTAAAAATAACCCTGCGAGAACAATCCCAAAAGGAGTCACAATGAGTACAACTCTTGACTATTATAAAGATGGAAGAAATAACTTAGAGAACTGTCACACGAGAGATCTTACGTATCACCCGCTCTGGCCTGTTCCACAATCTCATGACGCAAAATGACATCCAAAGACCGTGGCAAGGAACCTGCAGGTATCTCTTTTGACGTCTCCTGCATTCTAACTCTTTGCCAATCCGTAAACTTGCTCTCTTGCCTAAGCAATGCCCATCTTGCTCTGTTCAAACAAGTCGGGCTCACACAAATCGTAGGCTGCAACAAGGCCATAAATTATTCAACAAACAAAACGAAAACAAGCTAACACTTGGTACAAACTATTAAAAGGCACAAACTCAAAAATCAATCACCTGAGTGTACTTAAACTGTTGCTCAACATTCTTTATAACACTACCACAATCTAAACACTTGAAAGTCCCGTAAAGAAGCTCAGGTCTCACTTCACTTGTTCGAGTAACCACACCAGTCACCGACACTAACTTCCCAATTTCTGCAGTCGTTAACTCCCTCAACCTACAAAATTATCATCATCATCACAATCACCAAACACTAAAATTCAAAATCATCAATTAAAAATCAAAATCTGAGGATAAAGGCAATACCTTTTAGTGAAAGGAAGATTGTAGAAAGAAACATTGATATCTTTATTCGGAGTATCATCAGAAATGAAAGAAGGATTCATTTCAATCACAAATCTCTTACACGCATTCCTCAAATATGGCTCAAACCTAAAACCAATTTTACACACACAAAATCAATAACCCAGAAACAATTTTTCACACCCAATTAGGAAAAGTTAGGGTTTTAGATAAGAACCCAAACCTCAAATACTCATCAGCTATTGCTTTCTGAAGAGCGTCATTAAAACCCATTACATGAGAGAAATCAATGTACATCATTGTTGATTCACCGCCTCGAATTGCTTCAATCTCCGCTTCGTAATACAACTCCGGCTTGTTCGCGTCTAATCGGAAACTGAAATCAATTCGGAAACCAAATCAAACGCTAATTTCACACAAAAGTGAAAAAGAAACAAAAATTCAGAAAGACGAACCTTTTGAGGAACTCGAGGAAGACATTCTCTACTTGAATCGCTTGTTCATCCATTACAAATCCACCAAAAGCTTCCATTTTTTCAAATTCTACCTCACTCAAATTTTACTCTTCTCTTCAAATAAGTGTTCGCGAAAAACCCTAAATTCGTTTGAACAGAAAGGAAACGTTTTCTCACTATGGGCAATAGAAATGGCGAGCCTGTTGTGGCGGGAATTTTAGATGGGGTCCACTAACATTTTCCCGCTAAAAGCCGATACGTGAATTGGGCCTAGATATTGGGCTTTGACCCTTGTTAATGGGCCTTAAATAAATTGACTTTTTCAAATATATTGATTAAGATAATCAATGATTATTACCCAAAAGATAATCGATTCTGGTTGTTAGAAAAACAACACGATAAGATCATTTGAATGTTCTGTTTACTAATTATGAACAAGTAAAACTTAAAAAGATTTGTTGTTTTACTATCTCTATCTTATATTTCTCTATTTATAGATTTAACATAACCAATTAGTCAACTACGATAACAATTCTCTTGCCTATATAAATCTGAGTTTTATTCATCTTCTTACAACAAAACAAGTTTCAACAATCAAATCATAAGAATGAGAACTAAATATCTTTCTTTACTAGTAGTCCTTGTTGTTTTGGCTTCCAATGAAGTTATTGCCAAGAAACACTCTTCAACACCTAAACTAAGAAGAAGTGATTTCCCAAAAGATTTTCTTTTTGGAGCTGCAACATCTGCTTACCAAGTCGAAGGAGCTGCTCATGAAGATGGTAGAGGACCAAGTATTTGGGATACATTCTCTGAAAAATATCCGGAAAAGATAAAAGATGGTAGCAATGGATCTATTGCAAGTGATTCTTACCATCTTTACAAAGAAGATGTGGGTTTACTACATCAAATTGGTTTTGGTGCCTATAGATTCTCCATCTCGTGGTCGAGGATTTTGCCACGTGGGAATCTAAAAGGAGGAATCAACCAAGCTGGTATTGACTATTACAACAACTTGATCAATGAGCTTTTGTCTAAAGGAATTAAGCCTTTCGCCACCATTTTCCATTGGGACACACCACAAGATATTGAAGATGCTTACGGAGGATTTCTTGGTGCGGAGATTGTGAATGATTTCCGTGATTATGCGGATATTTGTTTCAAGAATTTTGGAGATCGAGTTAAGCATTGGATGACATTAAACGAGCCATTAACTGTGGTGCAACAAGGATATGTTGCTGGTGTAATGGCTCCAGGAAGGTGCTCAAAATTCACAAATCCTAATTGCACTGCGGGAGATGGAGCTACAGAGCCTTATATTGTTGGTCACAACCTAATCCTTGCACACGGAGAAGCGGTCAGGGTATACAGAGAAAAATATAAAGCATCTCAAAATGGTCAAGTTGGTATCGCTTTGAACGCGGGTTGGAACTTACCTTATACAGAATCAGCCGAAGATAGGTTAGCTGCGGCACGAGCCATGGCCTTCACATTCGACTATTTCATGGAGCCGCTTGTGACCGGTAAATACCCGGTTGACATGGTCAATAACGTAAAAGGCGGTCGCTTACCTACATTTACTGCTAAACAATCTAAAATGCTAAAGGGATCATATGATTTCATTGGCATCAATTATTACTCATCGTCTTACGCTAAGGATGTTCCTTGCTCAAGCGAAAACGTTACACAATTCTCTGATCCTTGTGCTAGCGTCACAGGTGAAAGAGAAGGAGTTCCCATCGGTCCAAAGGCAGCATCGGATTGGCTTTTGATATATCCAAAGGGAATTCGTGATCTCCTCCTCTATGCAAAATACAAGTTCAAGGATCCTGTCCTGTACATAACCGAGAACGGGAGAGATGAAGCTAGTACCGGTAAAATCGACCTTAAAGATAGTGAGAGGATCGATTACTATGCTCGACATTTGAAGATGGTTCAAGACGCTATCTCAATTGGAGCCAATGTGAAGGGATTCTTTGCATGGTCTTTGCTAGATAACTTTGAATGGGCAACAGGTTACGCGGTCCGGTTCGGACTAGTTTACGTGGATTTCAATGATGGACGTAAGAGATATCCTAAGAAATCAGCAAAATGGTTCACAAAATTGTTGAGCGAAAAGAAAAGGAATTGATGAGACATGCATCATTCCATTATATTAACTAACTAGGTTAATATATGCACAATGGGTAGTTTGTTTAAATAACAATTATCGTTGATTCATAATATGGTTTGATTATATTATATTATATCAAACTTGAATATTTAAAGAGTGATTCCAATGTAAAAATTTGTGGACACTATATTAAATGAAAAATTTCGAATGTTAAAACCTTCTCGAGCTATATATTATTTTTTCGCCCTATAAAATTAATAAATTGTTTGTACTTTAAGAATGAGATATTTAAACAAAAAGTTGATGAAATATATATATATATATACATTTTTGGAGTATCTTTAGCAAATAAATTCTGAGGTTGAGAAGTATTTACGAAAGAATGCCACTGACATTAATTATTTAGTTTCGAAAATTCAAATCAAATATATTAATTGCCAAAAAAATCTTAACATAACATCTTAACAATCGTACCAAAACATTTTTGATCCTCAAATATTTTTGGTATGATTTCTCATAATTAAAGATCCGTCATTAATTGAAATGTAATAATTTCATTGATGTAAAAAAATAAAATAACAAAAATTTGGGACTTTTAAAGATTGACTCCGCTTAAACTTAGTGTAGTCGGTTACTTGTAATAATTATTCTAGTGTTTTAAATCAAAACTTATAATTATTTTTTGTTTAAAAATATTTAGGATCTTTTGTACATGTTTTGCTCATATTTTGCATATTATTATTTTATACAAATTTGAACTGATAAATTTGCAAACTTTGATCACAAAGGTCACAAACCAAAAGATCTTCTAGAATTTCGCAATCGGAAAAGCAAATGCAGCGAACATGATTTTGTATTCTCTATGTAGCTGGTTGAAAACTATTTTTACTTGCATGTTTTAAAGATTCTTTCAATAAGATTTTAAAAACAATAAATGCCCAATTCAATTGAGGTTGTTTCTTTTGTTTGTAAGACTTATGTGAGATTTATATAGGCCAAAATATATCTTCAAATTTTAATGCTAATATATTATGTACCATAATAAAATGGCTTTTGATCGTTTTCATTTTTGGTAGCTTAGATATGTTTATGCTAGCTTTTGACTAAAGAAAAAAAAGATATATGTGGTAGTTCTTTAATTCAATTGAGTCACAAAAAAAAAAAAAAAAAAAAAAAAAAAAAAAAAAAACTAGCCCGATGTTAGGATAAGGTTGCTCAGGCGTGCTATTTAGCTGGAGAACTGGTGGTTGCAAGAAAGCATTGTGAAGCGTCCATTAAGGTAAAAGCCCTAAATATACTGATACTGCTTTGATTAAGACCACAAAGTGATTCATTGATTGACAAATATGAGAACAGCGGTTGTGTAATATACGAAAACTGCTTGAGCAAACCGACATCTGGGAGACCAAATTTCTCAAACAACCTTTTAAATTTTGTTTGTTTTACGTTATCCCAACTGGGAGATGTGAGATATATTTTGGGTTTGGTGGCAGATTCTGAAGAGGCTATATGAGGATGAACATGTAGTGATTGGAAATGAAATGGTGAAGCTTGCGTCGATTCAGCTTGCATCAGGTGATCGCAGTGGAGCTTGGGACACAACAAAGAGTCTGTCTCAGATATTCTCAAAGTATTACGGGTCACATGCTGAGACTCTCTTCTCTTATCTCCCATGTCTTAAGCAAGAAGCCGCCAAAGCTGTGAATTTGTCATCTTCTTAACCCAAAAAATTGTGTTTGTTAGTACAAAAATATTAGGCCGGTTTAGTTTTTATTTTTCCTTGGCAGAAACGATGTCGTTTTCTTCGACTTAGGGTTTTAACCCAAAAAAGGTCCAAAACGACGAACACACGAATTTATTTTTTTTCCTCTGAGCTTAACGACGCTTCGAAGAGGATCAGTAGGGGTGTCAAAATGGGTTAATACCCATGGGTTACCCGAACCCGTCCATGATTTTAGTGGGTTTGGGTAGAATTTTTTTACCCATATATATAAATGAGTTTTAGTGGGTTACCTTATTAGGGTTATGGGTTTAATGGGTAAAACCCATTAGGGTCATGGGTTACCCATGGGTTTTATAACCAAAACTAAAAAGTAAAATTTATATATATCTATACTGATATATTATGTAAAATTTATATAAATATATGTAAAATATCTTATTTTCTTTACAACTATATATGTAAAATATCTAAAATAACTATTAAAGTTTACATTTTACCTAAAAATAAAAGTAAAAAGTAAAATATATGTATAATATTATTTTAATTTATTTATTATTAAAAGTAAAAAGTAAAATATATGTAAAATATATGTAAAATAAAAGTAAAAAGTAAAATAACTAGATTTTTTTAATTTATTATTTAAAAACTTTTGTTGGTTTACAATTTTATGTTATTTTTTTTGGATTTTTTTTATTTATATATTTTATTATACATATATATGGGTACACATATAACCCATTAAGCCAATGGATATCTACAATAATGGGTTTGGGTATATAAATTCAATCCATATAAATATATGGGTCGGGTCAAACCCGTCCATTAAACATTCGAACCCATATGGGTTTGGGTCGGGTTACCCATTTTGACACCCCTAAGGATCAGCTCGCGGTTTGCCCAGTTTCCCTTTGCAGACAACTAGAATCGAATTCTCAAGGTTTGCCCAGTCTCTTTCTCGTTCTTCTTTGGATTGTTTCCATTCTTCGTAACCACATGAGTGTTTCTTAGGACATAACTTGGGTTTAGCGATTGCTTTAAATTTGAGTAAGGGCATGCTTGTTTCGTCGTAATATTTAGGGTTCGAGTTTAGTCTAATCTGCGGAAACCGGAGATGTTAATTTGATGTCCCTTCTTGTGAATTCCGGCGAGAATTATATATAGCTTTTGACTGTGACTCGTTGCTATAGATACGTGCATTCCTTTGATTAGTATGAATTTGGGAGCTACACGTACATTGTTATATAACAGAATCTACTAGCTATATGTCTTAGTATAGTACATTGTTAATAACAAAAATTTGGGACTTTTAAAGATTGACTCCGCTTAAACTTAGTGTAGTCGGTTACTTGTAATAATTATTCTAGTGTTTTAAATCAAAACTTATAATTATTTTTTGTTTAAAAATATTTAGGATCTTTTGTACATGTTTTGCTCATATTTTGCATATTATTATTTTATATAAATTTGAACTGATAAATTTGCAAACTTTGATCACAAAGGTCACAAACCAAAAGATCTTCTAGAATTTCGCAATCGGAAAAGCAAATGCAGCGAAAAGATTCTTTCAATAAGATTTTAAAAACAATAAATGCCCAATTCAATTGAGGTTGTTTCTTTTGTTTGTAAGACTTATGTGAGATTTATATAGGCCAAAATATATCTTCAAATTTTAATGCTAATATATTATGTACCATAATAAAATGGCTTTTGATCGTTTTCATTTTTGGTAGCTTAGATATGTTTATGCTAGCTTTTGACTAAAGAAAAAAAAGATATATGTGGTAGTTCTTTAATTCAATTGAGTCACAAAAAAAAAAAAAAAAAAAAAAAAAAAAAAAAAAACTAGCCCGAAGTTAGGATAAGGTTGCTCAGGCGTGCTATTTAGCTGGAGAACTGGTGGTTGCAAGAAAGCATTGTGAAGCGTCCATTAAGGTAAAAGCCCTAAATATACTGATACTGCTTTGATTAAGACCACAAAGTGATTCATTGATTGACAAATATGAGAACAGCGGTTGTGTAATATACGAAAACTGCTTGAGCAAACCGACATCTGGGAGACCAAATTTCTCAAACAACCTTTTAAATTTTGTTTGTTTTACGTTATCCCAACTGAGAGATGTGAGATATATTTTGGGTTTGGTGGCAGATTCTGAAGAGGCTATATGAGGATGAACATGTAGTGATTGGAAATGAAATGGTGAAGCTTGCGTCGATTCAGCTTGCATCAGGTGATCGCAGTGGAGCTTGGGACACAACAAAGAGTCTGTCTCAGATATTCTCAAAGTATTACGGGTCACATGCTGAGACTCTCTTCTCTTATCTCCCATGTCTTAAGCAAGAAGCCGCCAAAGCTATGAATTTGTCATCTTCTTAACCCAAAAAATTGTGTTTGTTAGTACAAAAATATTAGGCCGGTTTAGTTTTTATTTTTCCTTGGCAGAAACGATGTCGTTTTCTTCGACTTAGGGTTTTAACAGGTTTTCTGGAGTTAAGGTTTTACTTTTTGCAAAACGACGACGATTGGCAATTATTTCGATCTTTGACCCAAAAAAGGTCCAAAACGACGAACACACGAATTTCTTTTTTTTCCTCTGAGCTTAACGACGCTTCGAAGAGGATCAGTAGGGGTGTCAAAATGGGTTAATACCCATGGGTTACCCGAACCCGCCCATGATTTTAGTGGGTTTGGGTAGAATTTTTTTACCCATATATATAAATGGGTTTTAGTGGGTTACCTTATTAGGGTTATGGGTTTAATGGGTAAAACCCATTAGGGTCATGGGTTACCCATGGGTTTTATAACCAAAACTAAAAAGTAAAATTTATATATATCTATATTGATATATTATGTAAAATTTATATAAATGTATGTAAAATATCTTATTTTCTTTACAACTATATATGTAAAATATCTAAAATAACTATTAAAGTTTACATTTTACCTAAAAATAAAAGTAAAAAGTAAAATATATGTATAATATTATTTTAATTTATTTATTATTAAAAGTAAAAAGTAAAATATATGTAAAATATATGTAAAATAAAAGTAAAAAGTAAAATAACTAGATTTTTTTAATTTATTATTTAAAAACTTTTGTTGGTTTACAATTTTATGTTATTTTTTTGGATTTTTATTATTTATATATTTTATTATATATATATGGGTACACATATAACCCATTAAGCCAATGGATATCTACAATAATGGGTTTGGGTATGTAAATTCAACCCATATAAATATATGGGTCGGGTCAAACCCGTCCATTAAATATTCGAACCCATATGGGTTTGGGTCGGGTCGGGTCGGGTTACCCATTTTGACAGCCCTAAGGATCAGCTCGCGGTTTGCCCAGTAACAATGTACCCATATAACCCATTATACATTTTTTCTAAATCAGAACCTCCTCTAAGTAAGGTTATCTCTCTCAGGTTTGTCTGAAGAACTCTGAGTAGACAAACAGAATTCGAGTTGATCCGATTTGTACAATTATGGCGAGTCTGATGGGAGATGATTGCAATTTAGATATAATGCCTCCAAGGAAGAAGAATAAGGGATCCAATAAGGTAAAAGCTCTAATCAAACCATTCTTCAATGAGATTTTGGAGATTTTAATGCTGATGAGGTTTTTAAATTGTTTTCATGGTGGATGCAGGATAAGCTGAATTCAAATAAGAAGACGGTTTCAAGAAGATCTCGGAAACGGAAACTGAATTCAAATAAGGACACCGTAGTGAGCAAATCTCAGAAACGGAAGCTGAAGAAATTGGAGGAAGATAAGGAGAAAGAAATCATCTTTGCAAAAACTGCCGAGTTGTTAGAGTATGTTCAACGCTTTGATTCGAATATTTGATTTTTTTTTGTTTTCTTTATTTGAATTTGGTATTGAATTTTGCAGCAAGTACAAAATATCTGAGGATGTATCATCCCTATTACAATCTTCAAAAGTTATAGGAAGAGTAAGAACTATTCCATCTCTTTTTTTCTTTTTCTTACATTACGATTTCTTGAAATGCATACTATGATGTTCTGATTCTCCTTTGGTGGTTAATCTTCTATTCAGTCAGCAACTAAGCTGGAAAAACGAAGGAGAGCAATGCAACTTTCTAAAGCTGGTGTTGAGACTGAGCATTCTGATGAATCAGTCGAGCAAAATGACGATGATGATTCTTGTATGGACGAACCTACAGCACCAGATATGGACGAACCTACAACACCGGAACATGTTGAAATCGAAATCCCAACTTTTGTAACTGATTCTGAGCAACAGATTCATGCCCATGAACTCGGTTCTGATCTAGTGATTTCTGCTGAAGAAACTAGTAGCAAGCTTGTGGTAGACGACACTGTGGATATGATCCTACAGACAACTTGTCGTTATGATGAAGAAGGCTCACAAAGAATGGTTTGTCAACTCCGAAAGTTTGATGTTTTGTTTTTTTCATGATTGATAATTTCCAATTCAGCTATTATTGCTACCTTATATATTTGATTTGATTGGTTCGAATGGGTTTGATATGAAACAGGATGGGACCATTGAGAATGAAGATGTAACTGTACAAGGACCTCGTGTGCCTGCGTTTGTAGTTCATGTTTCAAGACCAGCCGAAGTTGAAGAGACGAGGAAGGATCTTCCGATAGTAATGATGGAGCAGGAGATAATGGAAGCTATTAATCGTCACCCCGCGGTTATTATTTCAGGACAAACCGGGTGTGGTAAAACCACTCAAGTTCCTCAGGTCAGTTTGCTTCATTTGTAAAGGTTTTCTGATTGCTGAGTTTTGGTCTCAGTTAGAAATTCCTTTCTTTATCTAACCCTGTTTTTCTTTCTGAATCTTTCAGTTCCTTTATGAAGCTGGTTTTGGTTCAAAGCAATTCAGTTCTCGAAGTGGGATTATCGGGATTACCCAACCACGCCGTGTCGCCGTCCTTGCCACTGCCAAGAGAGTGGCATTTGAGCTTGGTGTTCGTCTTGGTAAAGAAGTCGGGTTTCAAGTTAGGTATGACAAAAAGATTGGCGAAAACTCCTCTATCAAGTTTTTGACCGATGGGATTTTACTTCGTGAGATACAGGTAATTCACGGTTTTGCCTGGTTTGTTTTGTACATTCTGTTCCATTTTAATTATGGTACTTCCGTACTTGATTGTATAAGTTCTTCTGCTGCAGAATGACTTCTTATTGAGGCGTTACTCTGTAATAATTCTCGATGAAGCCCATGAAAGAAGTTTGAACACAGACATTCTAATTGGGATGCTCACTCGAGTCATCAAAATCCGACAGGAATACTACGAGGAACAACAAAAGAGTCTTCAATCTGGAGGCACAGTAACCTCAGAATACCAAATCACGCCACTTAAGCTTATATTGATGAGTGCGACTTTGCGAGTGAAAGATTTTGTATCAGGGAAAAGGTTATTCCCTAAGATACCTCCGCTTATAGAGGTTCCCACTCGACAGTATCCAGTAACTATTCATTTCTCCAGAAAGACTGAGATTGTTGATTATATCGGTCAAGCTTATAAGAAAGTGATGTCAATTCACAAAAAGTTACCACAAGGAGGAATACTTGTTTTTGTGACTGGGCAGAGAGAAGTTGACTATTTATGTGAGAAGTTACGTAAGTCTTCAAAGGAACTTGTTGTTCAAGCTGCTAAAAGAGATGCTTATGTGAAGAAGAAATGCGATGATGGTTCATTTGGTGGTGTTGACATGAAGGAGATTGCTGAAGCATTTGATGATGGCTCCGACAATCAAAATTACAGGTTTAGCTCGCATGGAGAAGATCCTTCTGAAATTGGTGATGGTAACTATGATGATGATTTTGAAGAAGAAGACATGTACGAGTCTGATGAAGACAGGGACTGGGAAACCGTTGATGACGGCTTCACAAGTTCATTTGTAGAGGAAGGGAAGCTTGATGCTCTCCGAGCAGCGTTTAATGGTTTGGCAGACAAAAATGGATCCGTATCTGCTGAGCCAACAAAGACCATTGCAGCAGAGAATCAAGAGGCTGAGCAGGTAAAAAACACATTTTCTCCAGGAAAATTACGTGTTCTTCCACTTTATGCGATGCTATCTCCAGCTGCACAGCTCCGAGTGTTTGAGGAATTTGAGAAAGAAGAAAGACTTGTGGTTGTGGCGACTAATGTAGCGGAAACTTCTCTGACTATTCCCGGTATAAAGTATGTGGTTGATACAGGTCGGGTTAAAGTGAAGAATTATGATTCTAAGACTGGTATGGAAAGTTATGAGGTAGATTGGATTAGCCAAGCTTCGGCTAGTCAACGAGCTGGAAGAGCTGGACGAACCGGACCTGGTCACTGTTATCGTCTCTATTCATCTGCGGTTTTTAGCAATATATTTGAGGAATCTTCGCCTCCTGAAATCACAAAAGTTCCTGTTGATGGAGTTGTTCTTATCATGAAATCTATGAACATTCCAAAGGTAAGACGTTTGTAGCCACCATTGTCAATGGACTAGATCTCTTTCTTCTGTCTGTCTTGACTCTTGATGAATCTTTGCGTTTTTCTATTGCTAACAGGTTGAGAATTTCCCGTTTCCAACTCCGCCTGAGCCATCAGCTATTAAAGAAGCAGAACAATGCTTAAAAGCTTTAGAGGCTCTCGACAGCAACGGAAGGTTAACACCATTAGGAAAGGCTATGTCTCGCTATCCCATGAGTCCACGTCACTCAAGAATGCTTCTCACAGTCATCCAAATGCTAAAAGAGACCCGGAATTACTCACGCGTGAATCTCGTCCTTGGATATGCGGTTGCAGCAGTAGCCGCATTGAGCTTACCAAACCCTTTGATAATGGAGTTTGAAGGAGAGAAGAAAAATGAATCCAAAGATGCTGACAAAACCGTCAAGCAAGAAGATAAACAACGGAGAAAGGATCGGAAAGAGAAAATCAAAGCTGCTCGGGACAGATTTTCCAACCCGAGCAGCGATGCTTTGACCGTAGCTTATGCATTGCATTCCTTTGAGGTCTCAGAGAATGGCATGGGCTTCTGCGAGGCGAACGGTTTGCATTTAAAGACCATGGACGAGATGTCTAAGCTCAAAGATCAGCTTTTGAGACTTGTTTTCAGCTGTTGTAAGCCCTCCGAAACCGACGACGGTTTCTCATGGACTCATGGGACTATACAAGACATAGAGAAGTCATGGAGAATCACCACATTGTCTTCCTCAAAATATCCTCTTCTACAGAACGAAGAAGAACTGTTAGGAGAAGCCATATGTGCGGGATGGGCAGACCGTGTAGCCAGAAAGACCAGAGCGACAGAATACCAAGCTTGTGCGGTTCAAGAACCTGTTTTCTTGCACCGTTGGTCGTCTCTCATAAACACAGCTCCGGAGTTATTGGTCTACAGCGAGCTCCTACTCACCAACAGACCATACATGCACGGAGCGACTCGAGTGAAGCCGGAATGGCTGGTGAAGCACGCAAAGTCTCTCTGCGTGTTCTCTGCACCACTCAAGGACCCGAAACCATATTACTCGAGTGAGGAGGATAGAGTTTTGTGCTGGGTCGTTCCGAGTTTCGGTCCTCATAATTGGGAGCTTCCGGCTCACAGTGTGGCAATAACAGAGGATAGAGACCGAGCAGCGGCTTTCGGATGTGCTTTGCTTCAAGGAGAGGTATTACCTTGTTTGAAAAGCATTAGGGCGTTGTTGGCTGGGAAACCTGAAACGTTGTTGGAAAGAGAAGCTTGGGGTTTAGAAAGAGTTGGGAGTTTGGTGATGGTTTTGACAGAGAAGAAGATTGATAGTTTAGAGAGTTTGAGAAAGAGTTGGGAACAGAATCCGAATGTGCTTTATTCAGAGATTGAAGTTTGGTTTCAGAAAAAGTTTCGTCATCGTGTCAAAGACCTTTGGCAGACAATGCTAAAGGAGGCTCACGTTCAAAGAAGTCAGAGGAGAAGATAAGTGTCTTTAAATTAATTTTTATTCTGTTTTGAATGGAAATTTTGTTAGAAACTTAAAAGTGTAACAAAGAAATATTAATGGATCGATTGAGAACAAAAGCTACGTAACTATCAAGGCATTTGAGTTTTTCGTCATATTGGACATTGTTAAACTTGAGCATTTTACACTTCCTGAGCACGAGCAACATGTGTTGTTTCCAAATCTTCGTGTTTAGTTGTCGTCTCTGAGATTCTCTGGTCGGAGTTTTGTGGGTTTAGCTTTCAGGTTTTGCATCTTCATTGCTCCAAGCATTACCAACATGGCGGTGGAAGCTTCAACGGCAGCAAAATTTAAAGACCAACACCTCCAGTTCTGGCAGTTGATGATTGCGTGGTCAGTTGCTGGTTTCGTCAAGCACTTGAGGATGTTTCCAGAAAAAGATCAAACAGATGAGACAGCGGATCAATATTGAACAACTACCAACAAGTCTATAAGGCTTTAAGCTTTGTTTATATGATTTGTTCACCTCTAATTACTTTAAGATGATTTTTTTTGTAGTGATTTCCGAAAGAAAATCCAGTTTACTTGAGAATGGCTGAATTTGCTACAGCTTTACAAAACCATTGCTACTTCCAAACTTATGATAACAAATTACATGAAGAGACAAAACTGATGACCCACAGTTGATTTTATTTGGCTTTTAGACAATATTAACATATATTTAAAGAAACTAACAAAAAAGCACCAATGGTCTAGTGGTAGAATAGTACTCTGGCACTCCCCAGACCCGGGTACGATGCCCGATTGGTGCAATTGAGCTGTGATGAAATTGGCTTCAGCGTTGGTTGGGTCCTTCGCATTCTTCTGATTTCGCAGATGCAATCGCCTCACTCCTGAGCTCTCTTTTTTTTGTCATTATTTCATGTGAAATATCCAAATTCCATAAAACTCGTCAAATTCAAAAAATAGTCCCCGAAACAAGGTGCGCATGAACACATAGTTGCCGGAATTCAGGATAATCAAAAAGTCAATAATACCCCTAATCCAGTTTGTTCTCATGTAGACACAATGGTAATTTCGCCAACCAAGAGAGCATCTGGTTTTGACTTTAACTAGCGGCTACTTTCTCTTAGTATTATATAACAAGACCCATCAGATTCTCATCTTCTTCATCAACAATTTTCACAAACACAAATTCACAATCAACAAAACAAAGAGTTTCTCTGAATTTGTTTCCAATCAAAAGATGAGTTCAACGAGCAAAGCATGGTTAGTGGCTGCAAGCATCGGAGCCGTTGAAGCGTCCAAGGACCAATTAGGCATGTGTCGCTGGAACTACTTGATCCGATCAGTGAATCAACGTATCCGTAACAACGTGAGATCCGCTTCTCAGGCCAACAGATTCTCTTCTTCAACCGTCGTCGCGTCCGTTAAGGACGATAACAAGGCAAAGCAGGCTGAGGAGTCACTTAGGACTGTCATGTACTTGAGCTGTTGGGTTCCTAACTAATGGATACATGCATGATCGACCTTAACTAATTGTTTTTGGGATGCATTTGTAGTATAATGATGATACTTCGTACATGATGTATATAGATAATGAATTTTGGGATGCAATAAAAAATTTTGTTGTCGCAAAAAAATTGCGTTTTCGTTAGTAATCCAAGTAACTAATATTGATCTTGTATTAAGTATTAACAAATCCCATAATCAACATTCAACAAGTAGCATCGGTGACCAGAAAATAAAATAAACTCACAACTGAAAAAAATGAAGTTACTTAAATGGGCCAAGCCCAGTGGATAGATAGTTTCTAATGGGCCGGTTGAGACTACGAGAGACGTCATCATCGAAACCAATCCCGTCGCGGTGATTCTTCTGCCATGGCGATCATGGCCGTTGCCGCTCTCTTTCACGCCCGCTTCCCTCTTCTCCTCCGTCACAGTGTCCCGTTCACGTTTTCTCTGTCTTCTGTCATATACTATCGCAGGACTGTTCCATCCAATGGACTCAGTACCCGATTATGCTCGATTCTCCGTTATTCATCGTCCGACGGCGGCGGCGGCGGAGGAAGTAGTAGTGGCGATTCCGGTAGCGTTAACGATTCCGTTAGCGTTGTTGCAGATGTTCAGAGTCCTAATTACTTGAAATTCACCGATGATGAATTGATGAAGCAATGTAGATTAGAGACATTTAGAGTTTCAGGACCTGGAGGAAAACACCGGAACAAGCGTGACTCCGCCGTTCACAGCACAAGAACCGTGCTTCTGCTCTGAACCGTCTTCGTACGCTCCTGGCAATCAAAGGTCTCTCTCAATTTCGTTCTTTGAACTTTGAAATTCTCAGTTTGGTTCTAATTTTGCGTTTTCCAGTGAGGAACAAGGTGAACATTACTAAAATAAATGTTGTGATATTCTCTTGAATAATAACACAAGATTTTCCTTTTGTTATTTAGTAATGTTTTTTGAAAAATATATCGAAATGTTTTGTGCCATAATAAAATGTTGATTAATAGCAATGGCTAACAACATGTAGTGCTTCTATTCAGACTAGCAATGAATATCACAACATTTATTTTAGTGTGTTTAAAAATAAAAGCTGACTATCTTTTTTTATAGCAATCAAGCTTCTTCTTTTCCTCATCTGGTCTATATGTAGGTATGCCGTTTTTCTTGTATGACCACAACCACATCAACGATGCTTATCTTTGGGATATATTTCTCTTTCATATGCCTCTAGGTTAGCATTTGGGCATAGGTACATAGGGGATAATGGTTTGAATTCTTCGTCCCATCCATACAATACCCTACAAATACTAATCAAGTCACATACTGGAATATGCCTATTCAGGCAGGGGTAAATAGAGGACTGGACGAATAGACATGTGCTTGACAAACTTCTTCATGCATACCCACTTGTGCTTGTAAAAATCCTTCGAGAATAACCGAACAAACAAACTGGGTCTATTCAGACTAGCAATGAATATCACAACATTTATTTTAGTGTGTTTAAAAATAAAAGCTGACTATCTTTTTTTATAGCAATCAAGCTTCTTCTTTTCCTCATCTGGTCTATATGTAGGTATGTCTATATGTAGAGAATGTTGAGAAGTTGCGAAGAGGAGAGATAGTGCGGAGAAAGACACAACTGGACGATGATGAAGAAATACAGGGGAGAGATCCAATCGATCTTTGACGTAACTGTCGAGGGAAACATTAAAACGAAAAGAGATTACAGATTTTGCTGCGAGACCCAATCGCACGAGCAAGAAGAGTAATGATTCATTGGATGTACATGCATGACGGATTCAAGAAACGGCGACATCTTGAAATTACGTGAGGAGGTAGAGAAGCTGCGAAGAGACGAGTTAGAGAAGGTGCGGAGAGAGGCACCATTGGTGGATGATGAAGAAATATTACCTAGAGATCCAATCGCTCTCGATCTTTGAAATAACTGTCGAGAGATTCAATAAAAAAATAAAAGAGATTAGATTAATGTAAGAAAACAAAATCAGGAATATAGTTTCAGCCCTTGTTCTAAAAATATCTGTCTAGCTCCGATTAAGCCGCTACGCCTATCCTATCCACTTCGATTAATGACTAAACCCTTAAAGAAATCAGTTACCTGATTAGTCTCCGCCTAATCTGATTACTTTCTGCCTAATATGATAACTCCCCACCTAATCTTACATATCGATTGCAAATATAAAACAAGTTTTTATTTTTGTTTTCCAATCATTTGTTTTTACAATAACTTATGTTTAAATTTTAATAAAAATCATAAATTGTTTTAATAAAAATCATAAATTTTTTTTAATAAAAATCATAAAAATTTGTCTCAAAAATACATTTTTATGTGTTTACTACAATATTGAAAACAATATTAGATTAATATGTTTTAAAAATATTAAAATAGCCCTAAAACTAGTCTCCGATTAATCTCCGATTTTCCGATTAATCGCTAGCCCAATACCAACCGCCCGACTAGCCCCTAGCGATTTTTCAAACAAGGGTTTCAGGCTTTCAGCTCTTGAATTCTTGCGTACATCCAGAGTAGTTCATACAACCATAAACCCAGAGAATATCTTGGTTAGTGATACTTTGACTGCCAAATTTTCTCATTTGGGTGGCAGCATTCTAATCGCATAGAAGATAATATCCATTTTCGTTCTTTCTGGTAAGTTAGACTGAATGATCTTTTAACACAAAATTAGTTCAAGAGATTATAGTGGATTAGTTGGTAAATTATCTCTTTTGGTTGTATTGTATTTGTGATTATGCTTATGGAAGATTCTCAAACCTCTTTCAGGTTATAGTAATTTAGGGTTTAGGTTTAGGTTTCTCTTGTGACGGCTCGTAGAGAAGAAGATACATACATGTTTATATATACTCTATACACACAAACGACCATGACCTTTGTCGTTTAAGTGATATAGTTATTGGGCTTATTGGGATTTGTCTAATATTAGATTTTGGGATGTTACAATTCTTTCCCACTTAAATGGAATTTGTCCTCGAATTTTTGATGGGAGTTCTCTATACAAAGCGTTCCATGCTTCGTTGACTAATTAGTTGAACTTTGAACTTCACACCCTCCGAACTCTATCTCACCACACTAATCCTACTTACACGGTTAAAACAAGAAGATCTAAATCTATAACTTACGCAATCAAGACACTCAAACAAACAAATTAATAAATCCTCAATTTCAAACAATTCAAAGAATCAATCAATAAAATATTTTTAGTTCTAAAATCTCTTTTGAAAATGTTTTTCAAAGGGTCGGCACCGGAGTGGTCTTAACCTAGGCTCTGATACCAAAATTGTAACACTAATCCCGCTTTATAGGCCAAGACAATGTGTTATTCATCTAGTCCCGCCAAAATATTTAATTCTTTAAACATTCAAAATTTCTTCCACGTCTCATAAAGCTTATTAAGCTGAGGGAAAAGATAAAAGGGGTGAACACAATTGCAAAATTCTAATCACACTCAACAATCAATGCATAGCATAGAATCCTACTCCACATTCTCAAACATACGTCTAACAAACATACATATTCTTACATTAATCCAAGCATGCATAGACAAAATCAACAATAATAAAGCTAAACTGAAATCCCATCGGCTTAACATGGCACGAAGCCAATCCCAGGTTCGTCCAATCGCTAGGCACAAAATCAATCCCAGGTTCGTCCAATTACCAGGTACGAAACCAATCTCAGGTTCGCCCATCATGAGACACAAAACCAATCCCAGGTTCGTGCCCCTATCACATCAACTCATTTTTTTTTGAATTTAATGGTAAATTATATTCAAAAGAAAAATAAACGTTTTTACAACGAGGTGCTTCTTGAGTTTGAAATAGAGTTGAAAAAATTAGCTGAAAAAAATTCTATGAGAATTTGAAAAAAATTAGCTCCGAGTAGCTAGCCACATTTGGTACGCCTCGTCGTATCTTCTATCGGCCATGCGTCTAAAAGTTGTGATCCGGTTTCTGACTTGTTTATCTATCCACCTTGTGATGAGTGTTTCCGAGTGTTGATCCTCGCCGTGCGTACGACCATTTCATTCCCGCCAAATCATGTAAACAGTAGCTTGAAAGGCGTATCGAATTAGAAAGCTCTCCACTCTGCCTCGTTGATTATTTGAAACATTGTCGATGAGTTGTGACCATCATGTAGTGAACCTTGCTTTGAGAATCCCCTTAGCAATAGCCTCCCAAATTCCTGAGGTAAAAGAACAAGCGAAAAAGAGATGATCTCTAGTTTCCACACAGTTTTGACAGAAGACACAACTGCACATCGCTCCTGTGGATGTCGGAATCCGCAATACAAATTTTATGATGTGTATCGGATCGTCTAGCCTTGCTAATTCGAACAACAATCGTGAAAAGAAAACAAGAGAGTAAAGTCTATGTATCTGTTTATTGCTCAAGAAAAATTCCCCCCTATTACAATGGTTTTCGTTCTCTATTTATAGTTACGCGATTCGAAACCGAAGTCGATTGCCACGTAATCAGGATAATGGCCCGTAAAGGATGAAGCCCATTGGATCCGTGAGCCGAAGGGATGGTCGAAGTGGTTGTCACCATTTCGAGAATCCGAAGTGACTGCACTGTGACACGAGTTTGGTGTAGAAGACACGGGTAAGTCGGTTCAAGGACACTTGGGCCAAAAGAGGCGAGGCCCATGAAGATCAGAGTCAACTCAAATTCAAACGTTGAGCATTAAAGCCGAAGAATCAAAACGGACACATTTAAGAAGAAATAATTGTACTTAATTACTCATTTTAAATGTCGTTTAGCTATGTATAAATATGGAGGCCAATGGCCATGTAAAGGGGATCTTCCTCTCAAGAGAGAAATACTATAGCAATTTTCGTATCAATTTACAAGCTCTTACGCATTCATTTTTGTCCCTCAAGAATAATCTTTCCCACTTAACAAAATACTTGAGTGTGTGAATCCGACATCCACATTTTGGCGCCGTCTGTGGGGACATCAGGATTCTTGAGTGGTCAGATTTCTTCTTTTCTACATTTCCGAGATAAGCGACAATGTCCGGAGGAGACGCCGTTGAGACATCATTGGCCGAAACCCTCAAAGCTATGCAGCAAACCATGTCGGACATATCACAAAAGTTCTCGGATGTGGAGAAGGCCGTCGATACGTTGCAAACATCCCAGGTATCTCTTAGTCAAAACGTCAATAATATACAAACTCGTGTTCGCTCTTTAAGTGCAGGAAACCCGGTGGGAACCCGAAGAGGGATATTCAACTCGCCAAGTTCCGCTGCACGAAATGAAACCAGCGGACAAACAACTCCCGGTGCCACTAATAATGTAGCTCAGACGTCGGAAGAAGAGACGCAGCTCGGGGATGAAGAACAACTTGCAGCTCAGTACGAGCAGGAGAACCTCGACCAGTTCGAGACCATGAGGAAGGTTAGCCAGGAATTAAAAGAAATGAAATCAAAATTTCATCAGGCTACAAGTTCGGAGCCAGACATCAATCGAGTCATTGAAGAAGCTAGGCGAACCCCTTTTATCCCGCGAATTGCAAGTTTGAGGATCAAAGATTCCCGGAAGCTCAAGTTGGACCCTTACAGCGGATTGGAGGATCCAAAAAGCTATCTTGCAGCCTTTCTGATCGCTGCAGGAAGAGTCGAATTGGATGAAGCTGATGAGGACGCAGGCTATTGCAAGCTGTTTTCGGAGAATCTATGTGGCCAAGCTCTAATGTGGTTCACCCAATTAGAACCGGGTTCGATCAGCAATTTCGACGAACTATCAGCCGTGTTCTTAAAGCAATACTCTAT